CTGGGCGATATATTACGTATTGGACATTGGAGCAATTGGTTAAGGGGAGAGGTTATGGAGAAGGAAGAGGAGACCATCGATCTATCGTTGAACACCGGTCGTGGTGGCGTGAGTAACGCGGGACAAGAGCGGGATCATGGGTGATGCTCCCTTTCTTCGCTCTTCTATTTGGGGAACATCTGCTCGATGATAAATTCCTCGGTCTCCCAGGTTTGCCAGGCTGAAAATATGACCTACTTAATTCACAGGGTATGCAAAGCAGAAATTCATGCGTGTATCTCGTTTCTGAAGAAGAGGATATTGGCGAGCGAGGTGGATATATTCGAGTTGGAACAACAGAAATTGAGAACGGTCGATTGTTAATTTGCAGGAGATATCAATGTTTTTTTTATACGATACGATGAGGGAATTGATGTTTCGTCATTCGCTATTTCTTAATGCTTTTAACCTTATTATTCTATAAAACGAGAAAATTAAGTTTAAAGTTGGCCAACTTTAATGTTATAATAGCAGAAAGTTGTGAAATAATCGTAATTATTCTTCACGGCTAGTTCATACTTCTTTATGTAGTCACGTGACTTTATGAAGCAATATCATTAGCATTTCGGAGATACGATTATTATGAGAATAAATATGGAAATTTTTCCTTAAAAGTTTCGCGTTGATTGGTGCTAAATTTCTAGACTCGAAGACGGTCAGATTGTTAACAGAGACTCTCTAATATGATGGAAAGAAAATATAAAAATTGCACGATCATTTACCTTTTAATCTTTCAATTTTAGCGCGTAAAAGGTAGTTTTTATCAAATTAAAATGATCGTGCTTGCTTTGAAGATGTTTTTAAATATCCAACGATCAGAAAAATAGAATAAAATCAATATCAAGGAGGCAACGATAATGTTCAATTTTATATATAAATTTCAATTGTACTTCGTCCCATCCCTTTATAGACAAATCGAAAAAATAAACATGAACAGTACATTTAATTAAAATTCTGAATTATTTCTGAATTTATAGTTGGGATGCGCTTGAAATTACCTGGGCACATGGCTTATTAATGGTCTCGATGAAAAACGTTTTAATATATGCCAGTGAAGGCTGGCTTTTCTGTATATTAATTTTACCTTAGCATCTTTTTTTCTTGGTACTAGATGTTCTGAGATGCTCTGTATTTATCAAGTCGGGGAGAAAAGGACGAAGAAAAATATTGCTGGATGACTAATCACGTTGAGCGTGTCGACGTATTAAATCTCGATGTCGAAGAAAAAAATTAGTAAACAGATCTTCTCGTCAAATACTCAGCTTCTTTTTTCTATTCTAAACGACACAAGCAATTCCTTTCTTTACATTAAAAATATCTAAGAAGAAAAAAACAAAACAATTCTTAATATAATTTTAATAAAATACAAGATCACAGTTATATGCCATGCATATACTTAAATTATAATATTAATACCCGATCTTGAGAGAATGGATACAAATTAAAAGAATTATCAGCAGAGAAATTATTATTCAAAAAAAAAAAAAAAAACTTTGAAACTAGATCACGCCATCACG